GAGAACTAGTGCATAAAGTCATATTTTGGAGATTTTTTCATTCATGTGAGTACAACGTAGGTGCATTTTTTGCGTTAGTTTTGTTAGTCGTCGAGATTCTTCAGTATCACATCGAGACGTTGCAATTCACCTCGAATGCGATCGTTTTCGTTATTATCTTGTATGTAACTTCTTTGCTGAAACTGGACAGATCATAAGGCGAAGAAAAAGTCTTGATATAAGGTACCTTTGACGTAGAACCTCTGCCAGCGCATCCATAACATAAACCTCGTCTTCCACAACAGCAATTTGGATATCTGTAAGATAAATCTATGAAGATATAGATTTTGAGTATGAGGTCAGTAGTCATTCGAAGCCTGGTACTAGGTCTCTTATGTGGAAAGTACTCTATTAGTTTTATCCTCAGTTTTATGTAGCATAAAACTTCAAAGAAAAGAGAAATTGAATGCATAGATCAAAAAACTACATTTCAACCAAACTTTTCTATCTAATAAATGTGACATACAGTCTGCCCTTTCCTGTCAAACCATAAATTGAAGGCCTTGGAGCGTCAAGTGGGTAACTATCCTCATATAGCCAACGTTTGATATGGCATCCATTACGGACAAAACTGTAAAAAGGCTGTTTGTAAGCAAAAATTCTTCTGGTGTCAGAAAACTGACTTGCTGATAACAATACGTTGAGCAGGATAATCTGGATCAATTCCTTCTTCGATAGGAAACATATCGGGAACACGTTGAAAAACTGGCGGCTTAAAAAGGAGAATTTTGGAATAAATTCTTTGAAAATCAAACTCGAGAATTCGAAAGTTTGAAGTCTGTGAATGTAAGTTGTAGAAGGGATACGCTACCTCTACCGCCGGTTCTTCTGCAGGTGGTGGCCTCATAAACCTCTCTTCTTCTCTTTGGCGCATTTCTTGCTCTCGTCTCACAGCCGCATCTGTATAAAAGTATCTCAACCGCTCAAGAGTTGCTGGTTTCAGCGTCGTTTCAGCGCTGTGGTGGAACCGTGCCTACCAGCAGCTCTTACCTGTCGCTGCCTGATACCCTGACGGCTTGGGGCGTCTCTTTTTTATCGAGCTATCTTCAACGAATTGAATATTGTAACTCGTTTATTTTATCTTCTGAACCAACCTATGTCAATAGCTGTCGATGGCGCCTCGTCTTCTTTCTTTGGACGCTCGTCTGGAGATCGCATTGGCTCGAACCGTACCTG